ACCCACCTCCCGCCAGATCATCGGCACCGTCCTGCTGTACGCCTTCCCCAGCACGCAGGACTCCCCGGCATCCGGGCCCCGGCCCCTCACCTCGGGCGGGCTGCTGCGCCTGCTGGACCTGGCCCGGGCCTCGGTGCATGCCTGCTCGCGCCGGGTCACCCGGCTGGCCGGGCTGCTGCTGGCGCGCGACGATCTGGCGGCCCTGCTGCAGCCGGCCGCCCTGGACACCGATCGGGACCTGGGCCTGCTCGGGGCCGGGGGCAGCCCCGGCGGCGGGTTCCCCACCAAGCCCTGGGCCACGTCGCAGTCGTCCCTCAGCTCGCTGTCCTCGGTGTCCTCCATGTCGTCCATCGGGTCGACGGCCGGCGGCCCCGGGGCCAGCAGCGTGGCCGGGTCCTTTGCCCTGTCGTCGGCCGAAATTGCCGGCGGCAACGCCGGGCACTTGGGGGCCGGCCCCACGTCGCCGACCGACTCGCTGCCCGGCACGCGGCCCGCGTCCGACGCCAGCCTCGGGGACTTGGACCTGGGCATCCCCGGCATCGGTGGCGGGGGCCCGGCCGGCGGGCGCCGGTCTTGGGGCACCCTGCCCCGCAACCAGAAGATCGACCGGTTCTTCGGCGAGGCCGGGGCCCACTCGACGGCGCGCGCGGCGGCCGCCCCCTCGGCCGACGAGTCCCTGGCCACGGCGCTGGCCCTGTCCTCGTCCTTCTCCGGCTCGCTGTCGGACTTGTCCAGCATCGCCCCGGCCGGGGGGGACCCCTTTGCGCCGCTGCTTGCCGACCTGCCCGGCGATCCGTCCATCATCTTCAACCTGGAGGGGGCCGTCCGGGCGGCCACCATCGACCGGATCCTGGACCGGCTGACGCACCACTCCTGGACCGACCCGGCCTTCACCGACATGGTCATCCTCACGCACCAGTACTTCCTCACGACGCCGCAATTCTTCGCCAAGCTGCTGGAGCGCTTCTTCGAGCAGCCGAAGGAGGGCATCTCCGAGGCGGCGCGCGATTACTACCTCCGCTTCAAGATCGTCCCCAGTCGCTATCGCGTGGGCCAGGTGTTCCTCCGGTGGGCGGAGCTCTTCCCGGAGCACTTCTCCATCCGGCCACACCCGGACACCGACCCCCGCGCGGGGGAGGTGGCCCCGCTGGAGCGCGAGCTCAGGAAGATCGCGGCGGCGGCCGCGCGCGCGGCCGCCCCCGGTGGCCCTGGCGACGACCCCTCCGATCTGCCGGAGGCCCCGGCCGCCGGGCCCGACCCTGCCGCCGGGACGTCGGAGGCGGCGGCGGCGGCGGGTGCTGCCGCTGGCGCCCCCGCGCCGGCGGCCAAGGGCCCAGCCCCGGTGCGCCTGGGCGGCCCGACGGCCAGCCCGCTGTTGGCGTCGATTGCTTCGGCCGCGGCGGCGGCCGCCGTGGCCGGCGGCCACCACTCGGCCCTGTCGCCGGTCAGCCCGACGGCGCCGGATGCCGGGGGGGCCGGGCAGCGGACCGGTGCCCGGCCGGCCGGGCCGCCGCCCCCGCCGCCCCCCGGCGGCAGTGGCCCCGGCCCCGGCCTGGCGGCCGGTGCGCCTGGCGGTGGGGATGCCGACTCGGCGGCCGCCGGGACCCCGCTGCCGCCGCCGCCGCCGCCGCCACTGCCGATCGGCGACCAGACCGACGACCGGATCCTGTACAACTCGGCACATGCCGAGGAGGAGGCCTTCAACCCGCTGGCCTTCCAGCTGGTGGACTTCATGTCCGGGCATTTGGCGTCCATGATGCCGCGCGAGTGCGCCCGGCTGAATGCCATCGCCACCGGGGCCGTCCGGCCGCTGGAGCCCTCCTTCACGGATGAGCTGTTTGCCGAGCAGCGCCACCACAACTCCCGCGTGCCCCGGGCGTCGGCCCCCTCCAAGACCTTCACCCGCCGGTATACCACCATTTCCCTGGCCATGGCCATGAGTGGCATCGGCATTCAGATCAGCAGCAGCCGCTCCGGCAGCGGCATGACCACCAGCAGCCTGACCGGGGGCGAGCCGGCCGGGGCCGGCGGCGGGCCGGGCTCGGGGGGGGCCACCCCCGCCGCGGCGACCGCCGTGGCCACGGCCGCCGCCACGGCCGCCGACGACATCTCCGTGGTGTCCGGCGGGCAGGTGCTGCACCTGCTGCCGACCACCTCGCAGGCCATCATCAACATCCTGTCGGCCAATGTCAGCGTGGCCGAGGCCCTGCTGAATCTCGACCCGTCGGAGGTGGCCCGGCAGCTGTGCCTGCTGGACTTCGCCCTGCTGCGGGTCATCCGGCCGCGGGACTTCCGGCTCCATGTGCGGGAGAAGCGCCCGGCCGAGGCCGGCTCCATCACCCAGGCCATCCGCCATGCCACCGGGCTGACGTGCATGGTGCTGCACTCGGTCCTGGAGCCGGGGATCGAGCCCAAGGTCCGGTCGGAGCTGATCCGCTTCTGGATCGAGGTCCTCATCAAGCTCCGGTCGTACCGGAACTTCAACGCCATGATGGCCATC